ACAGGCAGAAGAATACGACCTCCTTGACAAGCAAACTCTGTATGTCTGCGTACATGCATGCGAACGGCCAACAACGGACTCAGCATTTTTAGAGACCGTCACTAGCCCAAGACCTGTCATTTTCTAAAAGCCCTGTAAGCCAGCAGCGGCACCTTGACCCGCGCCGTGCCATCCAGCAGCGCAGCATGCTTCTGGACTAACACGTCCTGTCAGAGGCTCATGGGTAGCAATCGGACCTACGTTTGTTATGGGGCATTCCGCGGTTGGGGTGCAGGGTTCAGAGGTAGTGTGAGGGGCTTTGCGTTTAGAGTGCTGGGCTTTCAGGAATGCAGGCTTGTGGGTCTAGAAGAGATCTTTGGGTTTCGAGGATTTGGGGTTTTAGTCTCTAAGCAGTGAGCGTGGCGGGAAGCAGCAGCCAAACTTAACAGGCTCTGAACAAAGCACTAACGAGAAGTCGGTTGGCGGTGCCTGCTGAGCCGTTCTGACTCTTTTTGGCAAGGGAACCTTCATGCAATCTGAAGAAAAACAACACATCCAGCACTTACATGATTGGCCCAACAATTCCCGCTAACTCCAGGGTAAGAGTTGACTGTTGGGGCTCGACATTGAGCCGGCTAACCTATGTAAACCAACACCTCCTAGTCAGTGTCCTACGAAGGACATGCAACAGAAGCAGTTCCTGCGAGGAGGCCAAACACGGTCTCAAATGTAAATGTGCAGATTTGCGGGATAACTACTCACCTGTGCTCGTATACAACTGTCCAGAGTCAGGGTTTTGCAACCAAGTCCCGAGTCCTGAAGCTGCAGAAGCTGCGATCTTACAAACTCCTGGTGCGTTGTGCAACTGGATGAACCGCAGCTTGAAAAATCACTACGGCTTTCATGTGACATGATTAGCAGAATCGCTGCGCGCTTGGCTGGGCTCGCCATGGGAAATCTTTAAAGTGGTCAAGATTTACGTGGTCAAGATTTACTTTGCGCCGGCTGATTTCTAACACGATGGGGATGGGCCAGGAAGGCTTTGTAAGTTCAGCCGGAATGATGGGTGTATATTCAGACCTACCTCTTTAGAGAGGCATGGTTATGATGTCTTGGGTGAGGAGAAGGCTGTGACTGGAGCTCGATAGGCTGGCCGCCATCTGGGCGGCTGAGTCCAGGTAGAGCACCCCAGGCCCAGTAGCAAAAAAAAAGTCCAGCCATCGATGCGCTTGAACAATGAAACTCTCATCTTGTGCGTATCCTAAGGCAAATCTTGGCAAACAAACCGGTCAAATTTGGGTGCCATCATTCCTCACGTACCTCTAACGTTTGAACATAAGTGGTCATCTACCGCAGGGCCGCAGCACCATTTTCCATCAGTCAAACTGAGCTTGACAGAGGACCACTGCAGAAGGTTTACAGGACAGCGTGAAGGATGGAGACCAGTCCTGGAACTTTTTCCGCCCACTCTTCGATAATCCTTCACTATCCCTCCCAGCAGATACCGAATAGCAATGGCAGCTCCTCGTATGGAACACTGTCATCCATTGCTCTGGAGCTGACACTGCTGCGGCATGGACCCGACTGCAAACAACTAGCAAGTAAGATGTAAAAGGAAAAGCGATCCAATTGATGCAGTGCCCTGAAGGATATCTAGCTGCTCCCCAAGTGTAAGGTTCCCTCAACCTCCTACCCAGACTCATCCTGTACCTTGTCCTAAGCCCCTTTCTGTACAGGTCTTCCAAACAGGTTCAATGTTCAAATGCGGGCCAGTCTACTGAACCATATGACCCAGATGTGTGTGGCAGTAGTGAGGAGGCAAAAGCAACAAAAGCCCCACCAAAGCAAATCCCACCCTCTACCAAACAGAAGACCAAATTTGCAAACTCCACGTAACAGAAATGCAACTACATCTCCAGTGGCAGATTTAGCGCTGACCACCTCGACTGTCCAGCTCAATCTTCACCAGTCGTTGCGTCCTGGAAATTCGCCAAGAAAAAGTGAGAAAGGCCTTTGCGGGCCTAGCACAAAGCCACAACCGCCCCTGTGTTGCTTTACAGCAGCAGAAACCAACAAATACCCAGAAACTCAGACCCCAAAATAAGCTTCAAGTCTCAGGCTGTCAGCACCTTGGAGCTGTTGTAACTTGATTTGCGAACTTCTTGTTGACAAGCAGTTGAAACTTAAACTTCGAGGCGATTGCTGTAAAAACTTTGAGCAACCCAAATTGATCCCATGGACTGGCGCGTCAAACGCTTTGTCCTGGGCGGCCGGCGAATCCTTGGTAGGGCTTGCGTTGGAGGCTCTGGGTAAGAGCTTAGGAGTTTACTTATGTTCAGGTGATTGAAATCCACGGCTGATGACAACTGCGAGGTTTGGGTGTTCAGGGTCTGTGTAAGGGATGCAGGATCTGTTGTGTGGGGCTGGGGCATTGGGGCTGGGTGCGGGGCTGAGGCTGTTCTAGGGACAGAAATGAATATTGACCCCCGCAAAACGCTGCAGCACTTGGGCTCAGACTTCAGCACTTTCAGGCCCCTCTCGGCGGGTCAGCTTCTTATCTATCCTGTTTTTGATCGAGGGAAATGTCGTGACACAAGCAATCCGGGTCAGAGAAAAATGTGATATCAGGCTACTGATGCCGAGCGTGCAGGTACACAGTGAAGCCTTAAGCACGCCATCAACCTGCAATGCACCCCTCTAGACCTCAAGCCCTAAATCCCGAGTGCCATGAAGTTGCGGGCGGTGTTGACGCTGCTCCAAGCCAAGAAGAGGCAGAAGTCATGGAACTAAACCTTGAAGAGGCGGACAATGCACGTCTACGTTTAGCACCCACATCTTGGGATCCACATTAAGGGTAGACAGTTCAAATGTCCAAGTGTTAAAATTCGAAGGTGCGCCGACCAAATGAGGCGACAGCTCTGTAAGTTTAGGTTGAAGATTTCTGGGTCCTGTTTGGAAATTTGAGGCAGCCAAAGGCAACCTCCATGATTGAGCCCAAGACCTAAACTGAACTGGGTCTTCGGGCGGCTTCTTCTCTCTTCCCCCGTTCCTTTTAGCTATGACAAGACGGTACAGTCTTGAGGTAATGTATCCGGTCGCGCCTCCCGACACGACCACTGACCCCCTGGAAAGAAGCAAACATGATCCAAGCCCTGGGACAAAGCCAGTGAGCCTCGAAATAACGAGTCGTGCCCTCCAAAATGATCGACAGTCGCCCAATACCATACCTCCTATCTCCTCAACTCCAAATCCCCTTGAGCTACAGAGATCTTCGTGCTACCCGAAAAAATCCTGCCTGTCTACCCTATGCCCTATCTATTCTTTCAGGAGTGCAGTCTTCAGGCCTTAGCTCCTTAGCCTACACCCTCCTTTCTAGACTTGCCAGACCAGCTGCATGGCCGAAGGGGCTGGGAAGGACCACTCCTGAAGATCTGGCCAGCTGAACCTGGGGAGCATACGAAAGGGGCCTGAGAAGCATCTCTTGGGCAGCAAATTGGCTACTAGACTGGGCCCTGGGACTTTGGATGGGCAAGGCGCTTTAAGAGGATTTACGTGGTCAGGATCAATTGGGCACAATATCGTTCAAGCCTGGGCTGTGTCAAGCTTGTTTAAGACTTAAGGGGCCTGTGCTCCAGATTAAGGGTCACCTTTTGAAAGCCCGTAGTCTCTGAAATAAGTCAGGTGCAACAAAGAGTGGGGAAGCAGAACCAAGCATGAGAACATGAGCAGCATTCAGAATGTGCGAGCGGCGCTTCATTTTCTAAAATCAGCGAGCAAAGCAAACTTTGAACATTTGCTCACAAACTTTAGACCCAGCTCCATGTGCAAGTCCCGTGGCTGGGACAATGCTGCGTTTGCCTTCTTCAGCTATGACGCCTCTCCAATGGCCTTCCTGATTAGGTTTTTTGTCGGGCTATACAGTACTCTTGCCATTGTCAGGGTTAGAACACCAACGAATCCAACGACAACCACGACTACCCCCACCACTACCGTAGACACAACCCATGGCACAATGAGGAAGGCCACTCAAAGAAACAACCGTACAGCATCCTCGCTCAGGTTCCATAGCCGTTCGCGATTCGCTGGATCCTGGCAGGCTTGGGTTGTCAATGCCAACTATGACTAACATCAAAAGCGATAGCAATGGTGGCAGCTGTTGTCGCGGGGGTGACAGTAGCCGTGCTGTAGCGATAGCGGTCCGGTAAAGCGGTATCGCAGTACAGCGGTAGCGGCGAGGAGGAGGCGGAGGCGGACAAGGAGAGGCGTGGAGGTGTTGCGACGGTGGGGGTCAAGAACGTGTTTGCTGTATAGAAAGCGGATGTGCAACAAGCACGAGTAGGAAGAGGAGGTCGGGATTGAAGGTCTTTGGGACAGCACCTGGTGTTCAGGGTATGAAGATATGGAGCTGTGGTTCTAGGGTTTGGAAGCTTGGGTTGCAGGAGCTTAAGCTCTGGCGGAGGACTCGTAGTGTAGGTTGCCTTTTGTAACTTCCCAAGTTGAACAGGCAGCCATGTTTTCATGTACGACTCCCAAACCTTTAGCAATATTCCCGCACAGCATTTGGACTAAGAAGAACTGTTCAGGCACTCCTTGAGTCTGAGAATGTGGCAACAAAATGCAACCGTTTCTCATATTGAGGTATCATGCTGCAGCTGCTGCGGCCGCACTGCACATACGCTAGCCAACGTCGCTGCTAGATCGAAAACTGTCAAAAGTTCAGGCTGGCAAGCTGCCAGTGCTTGTTTACGCAAATCCGCATGAACATCGAAGCTTAGGGTTTCAAGCCTCAGGCCCATATCACTTGGACACTCCATACTGAAATGCCTTCATCCACAAGCACATGCCACTAGCGCAACGTAGCTGTGTAAGAACCCCAAGTAAGCCATTGCGAGATTAAGGCAACCATGTGCTCTGGACTGTTTCTGGTATTCACACATGCTATCCAACTCCAGCAAATGCGGAAGCCACGATACTTCTAGCCATAACAAGACAACAGCAAAAACACACAAAGACCTTTCAGCCTGAAGATCGAAGCCAGGTAGCTCGGGCAAATGGCGAAGGCTGAGCCATTGGCCAGCCGCCTTGCGCTAACGACTTCTCTCAAATTTGCAAGTGACAAGCTGTGCGGTTTTCCGGTTGAGCCTTCCGCAAGGTGTTTTCTATTGCTGCCCGCACCACCATCACCGCCGCCAGCGCCGTCGCTAACCCCCACCACCGCCGTCGCCACCACCGCCACCACCACCACCACCACCACCACACGACCGCCGCCGCGGTGACCACCACCACCGCCGCCGCCGCCACCGCCGCATTCCCACAATGTCACCTCGTCGATCATGAAAATTCATGCGTGCAAGTGCTTGAGCCTAAAGTCAAGACACAACGCCAGCAGAATGCCAAAACCCTTTTGCGCCTGCATCCTGATCCTTGGTTTCATACACGGGCTCGCCGAAAGGCAGCACAGGAGAAAAGGCCTTCCACAAGCGAGCAACAGGCTTTCGGTAATGTACGACTTCGGGCTAAAGCATTTTGCAGCTCAATGAATTGAGACCTAGGGTGCGCTTGACGAAAGCAGGTCGTGGTCAGAAGTAGAAACAAACAAGGTCTGTCAAGACCGGTTTCCATTAGAACAGGTCGTTGACCCAAGGCTCTTCAAACTCTGAAGCCGACACGCCCGTGTCCGAACTCAATGCTCATGCCCGGCAGGCTAATCCTGGACTTCAATTCAAGAGTTTGGAGTTGTTCCACCCACACCGCCCACCATTAGGCTCCCAAGAAGCCGCATGCCTGAGCGAAGTGGGCCCCGTTATGATTTGGCACCTGGGCCCCAAAAGACAAGTGGCACGTGAAGGCGTAGAAAAGCTGGAACGCCGGAGTCCATATTGTAGGCTATGGGTGTGCTTTGGGGCCAGGACTAGGCTTGGGGCGTTGCAGAGTGGGACAGGCCTGGAATAGCTGCTTCTGCGCTGAGGGACTTACTGCAAGCTGACGTGTTGGTAGGATCAACCATTTATGCGTATCTTATGTTATCCACGGCGGAAGGTGAGAAATTCCGAATTTATTGGAAGCTACGTTACTCAGGTCGACTGTCGAAGCTTCCTTAGGAATGAGATTACTAGGAACCTTTGAACTGGATCCTTCATCTGTCACTTCGAGCCTACGCGCTGATCCGCAAACTCAATTCCGCATACCTGAAGCCATTGATCTTGCTCCCTGTTTTAGGGGAGGGGTGCTGCAGCAAAGGATCATCATCAGAAAGCAGAGCATACAGCGTCGACTGCGAACCTTGATCTGATATCAGGGACGTTAACGCAATACCACATAGGGGTTGCATCAAAAGAATGACAAAAACTGTCTTGTGGGGGTACCCTCACCTTTAGGTTTAGGGTTGAACCAGCTGTTTCTGGGACTAAGGCAAAGGCAAACAGTTCAATGGCTTTATCAGCTGCTGGGACCTGGGAACATTCTTCTGAACAGAAACTATGCCTGGCTTGCAAGTTAGGATTAAAGCTATCCCATCAGGCAATGCTCTCAATTGCACAAGCAGCCTGCAGACCCTCGCCAACAACCCGCGAACCCTCAACCCTCACAGACAACATGCTTCTGAATCTGAATACCTCTATGCAGAAAGTTAGGAGTTTCAAGGTCCCAGGAACCAGGCCAAACATCGATCATTCGGATGCCAAACTTCAGCAAGCACTTGAAACAGCCCGCCTTGAGGAATCGGGTTTGGGATCTAGAGCTCAGGGCTCAGGATTTCGGATTCGTGGTTTAGGGCTTATGGGTTCCAAGAAGGCGAACCTAGATGGTTCAGGAACTACCAGAGTTCCTCAAGCGCCGTATGTAGACCATGGGGTACTGAGAACCTGCAGCTCACGTGAGTAGTGCTTTTTGGTGGTTGAACCTAGTAAGATTATATTCTTGATATAAAAAACTATACCCAAAAGGAGGATATAACCTTACTCTGTATTGGGAACCACAGTATCCGCAAATAAAATACTACTCACGTGATTTTTTGGTCTTATCCATCATGTAAATGCCAACCAAAGTTAGGATCTATTCAGAGGTACCAAGAACTGGTTAAGATCTCGCGCTTACAGCTCGCAGATTTCTCATAATTCTGGCTTGGGGCGTACGTTTCAGGCCATGACGCAATCTGAGCTACGCCTTCCTTAGAGGCTGAGACATGTTTGACGTGTTCAAAAAAATCTTTGCTACGCCTACTGAACCCTACAACACAAACGGAACTATCCGTTAGCTGTCCCGTATGCATCATCAGGTCGACAGCGCCCACCACTATCAAATTGCTACTGAATGCTCAGACTGCCGAGCACATGCACCAATCAGCGAGACAGGCCGTTGGCCATTCCTGTCACATTGTGCTGGAAGGTGGTACTCCCACTTACAACAGATGGTTGCGTAGAATGTTGCTAGGTCTCAAACCTCGCCTCAAGCAAGGCCCACAAAAAGGCGATGGCAGGATTCATGGAAGGAGACTTAGAGGCTCTGAATAATGCCCAGGCATGAAAGAAATCCATCACATGCGGGGCACGTTTGACATACTTCAGCCATACTTATGACTGCCAGCACCGTAGATGCAAAACCACAGTGAATAAATATCTTGTAGGAACACAGGACGCCCGCAATTATTCAAAGGAACTCCTCCCTCAAATCACAAAGCGGGATTCGGAGTTTGATGATGTTTCCGACCCCTCACTCTGGGATCCCTCTAACAGCACATCTCATGCCGTGAAGTCACGAAGCAGCCGTCACCAATCATGTGCCGCTGCGCACCAGTGGAAACGCAGCCTCAGGCTTTGAGACCATTTGCAGAATCTGTGGTCCTGTCACGCCATCACCAAATCCATACTGGGAATGGATCAGACTCAACTTCTGGATTGCTGAAACCATCTTCAGGCAATGCTTCAAACACTTCAGGGTTCTCATTACCAGGACCCCAAGGCCCCGCGCCTGGGTGAACGGAGACGGCAGTGATGCCATGCTTGCCCTCACGCTCCTGAGTCGCTGTTCAGCTGAGGGCTCAGCGTTGTAATCAGTAATCTACATAGGGCCATGGGGCGGAGGGGTGGAAGCTTGAGATTCACTTTCAGTTTCCTCGCAGGCTTCTGAGTTTCACACTTAAGCTTGCAAAAACATCTCCCCACTGCAATCCAGACTCTGCGAAGGTTGTGGCCCACATCACCTGGGCAGCTCTGCCCTAACAGCATCTAGAAGGATCACATCCCCACAAAGTGCTCATGACTGTTAATATTAGTTGTACTATCTACACTCTGCTTAAAGCAACCCACGGACCTCCAAGCAAGCTCTTCCATGGAACTGCATATGACTTCAGATTGCGGCAGAATGATGGGAGTCGGGCTATAGGCTGACTTGGACAAGCTTAGGGGAGCAGGGGCCAGGTTTATTGTGGCAATGCCGTATAACTTTTTTGCCCGTCTTGTCATTGCTTCTGCCACGACTGGATAGGCAAGAGACTGCCCAATGAAAGTTACAGTATTGTGGCTTATTGTGTATAGCACTTATCACTTATGACTTATGTGCTCCTTCCAGGCTTTGTTACACACTTCTACATCCGGAAGCCTCAATACTGCAGGCGACTTGCGTTGGCCAGCATGGATTGAGTCATGGCCATTTCCCGGTCGTATGTTCGCGTGATCCAGTTCCAGTCCTCCAGCTGCAGTCCACACGGTCACAGCAATATAACCATCATGCTATCAGGGCAGAACAGCAGCCATAGCACAAAGAGCCACCATCACCATGAAGCTGAAGCCCTCAAAGAAAGGGCACGGACGAGGGCGCGAAAATGTATGTGCTTACCGAGGGTACTGTGGAAGCAACCTCATACCTTTGTCCTTCCCCAAGGATGCTTTGCCTTTATGAATTGAGCCCTGATCGACATCAACCATACGCATTCCAGCGGCCCCAACAGATAGGATATTGAAGCTGCAGATAGGATACTGCAAATGCCCGTTGCACGGTCCCCGAACTGCTCACGACTTCTGAGTTTCAAGACACACTTCCCAATCGGCAACCTGACTCCTTCACCCCAAAAAAATACTTTGAGGATTCAGGACGTTTCAGTCCTTCCAATCGATGTAACCTAGCTTTCTGCCACGACCACCCGTGGAGTAGTGCAAGGCACCTGTGGCTTTTGACACTTTGATGCTTATGGGCTCATGATGAGAAGTCCAGATGATTTTTGGTGATGGCGTCAGGGTGTGAAACGTAAAGATTTCAGATTTGACCTTCAGGATCCATTTCTAGTTGAGCCCCTCGAATAGCGAACCGCGAAACCTTTCCGTGCAAGCAAAAACTCCAAAACTCTGACCTCCGATGGCGGCTATTGACGTTTGAGTCCAAAGCCCCGAGCGCATTGCGAAGAGATGTGCAAAAGGGACCTTGGGCTAGATTGTCGTGGAACCTGCACGCAAGCATCTTCTGAAGATATTTGTGTGTCAAGGTCAGTTACAACTGCAACGAACAAAGAAACATATCTAGGGCACTCCTACCGCAGAGGCCCACCCAGGTGCGCTTGAACCCAAGAAACAATCCTAGACGTCGCCCCAGGCATACCCGGGCATAACAAAGAAGAACTGAAGACGATGTATGTTAAAACTATTGTTAGTTGCCAACTACTCGGGAACATTATTGGTACTTGTTCAGGTGCTCACGGTACCGCCTGAAGCCAGGACGAGGCGCTGGAGGTCAGTACTACGCGGCTGGGCGCCGATTTGATCAGCAGAGGTGTCAGGAGCCGCGTGAACAGCACTGCCCTTGCTCTGGGACTCTGAGGCTCCCAATATGAGAGGTTCAGGGAAATGTCAGGTCTCCGACTTGAACTAAAGGGGAGGTTACACATGAAAAAAAAATTTCATAAAGACCGAGAAGTGGATCCAGCTTGCTGGGTCATGAGTTGGGACAAACGTTGCAGGCAATGATTTCAGGTTTGAGGCTTCAAACTTCTTGAGGCTAGTAGAGGATCAAAAGATCAGCTGTCGGCTAAAGCACACAAAACGAAAAGCAACTATGCCGTTCCAAAATCCACTACGTTCTGCGAAGGCTCCCCAAATGGTTCACTCCCATGTGCCACTCGATGCCCTGCTTCGTGCAGGCATGGGGGTGGTTGTACCTGCAACATGTGTATGAGTTCGATTTTGGGCATTGCTGTTCAGCAAATCTCAAGCCTTGGGTTTCAAGTGCCACGGTTAGGCTGAGATTTCGCGGAGGTTTCACGAAGGTCCAGAACACAATCAGGCCATCTCGCATGTCGTGCAGGCTTACGTAGCACAGGAGGGAATCTGCCAAGGGCACGTCCCGGCGTTGTTCACCAGGTAGTCCAGCTTTTCCAATTTGTCTAGAAGGACCTGCAAGATGTCCAACATGGAAAGCGAGGATTTGGGACCTAGATCTAGGAATGGCAGAAAGCCAACCACACACGCGTGCGGTCAAGCCGGAGAGCTGCAAGCAGTTGGGATCTAGAGTTTGATGTGCGACATTGGTCCCGGACAGCACCTTAAGTTCCATGCATTGTCCCAACAGGGGCAAATGGCGATTTGTCGCTGGAGGGGCAGCATCGCCTGGTCTGACGTGAAAACATACACGTACGGACCAGCCGCATAAACTGCCCTTTCTCTGAGCTGGCTCCGCCACAACCTGTTAAGTACCACGCCACGGTGAAGGACTACAGACGAAAGAGGGTGAGGACCTGTGCAGCGAGCTGTCGTGCTCAGTTGACCAATTCCAACCCAAACCGCCCTCTTGACCTCTTGATCAGGGACCATGCAGCTTTTCTTTTTTTTGGGGAGGGGGGGTCTTGCAGAGGTCCGGGTGGTGCAGCAAAGCTTGGGTCGCTGGCAGCGGTGTGTTGAGCTGTTGCCATGGCCCCTTCTGCCTCCTACCTCAAGCAAAAGGACCCGGCTGCACATATAATGAGCCAGTTTTTGCAGTGCCTCTTCTCCAGTAATTGCCACGTTGTCACATGTTTTTGGAACCTCTGCTTCAGCAATTCCGAGACAAATCCTACCTACAAAAAACAAGAGGTTCAATTCAATCAGAACAGAATAGTCAAAATACTCGCAACACACGGAGCCGCTGAAGAGATCTTGTACAAGACTGGCTGATGTTTTTTGCTGAAGACCTGGAAACAGCTTCAAGGAACATTCTGCGAGTGTCAGCCCATCCGTCCTTCGCCGCTGCCTTCACGGTGACCATGTCAGAAAAATCTACCTCAGATTGGAGTGCTTCATGCTTAAAGCCAGAAGACCGTTCAGGCCTTGCTCTTCCAAAGGGGGAAGGCAACCGTACCCCCAAGTTCCAGATTCCAAGCCCTGAATCATGAACTCCAACCGTGCATCAGCCGGGCAGGGTAAGTGAGGCGCTGCTGAAATACTAAACTGTAGCTGCTATAACAATCTAACAGGACATCTGCATCCTCTTACAAGAACCCAAGTGTTCCATCCCTCCCTGTAGAAACCGCGTGCAACGCTGATTCAGGCACAGGCTCGTATAAGACCCGCGCAAGCTCCCCCAGCTCCTGCGATGCTGGAAGCTTTCACTGAAGTTTTGTTTTGGGAGTCGTTACCTCAACGATCCGAGAACTTTGGGATGCCCACTAGGCGTTCGAGGCTTGATCGCTATTAGTTTTGGGAGACTTCGGCTTCGTCAGGGCCACAGTGCTGTGCGCATGTCCTTGGCTACAAGTTCGAGCTTTGCTTTGTCCCGGCCAGCCAGATAGACGGTGCCTCTGGTGACAGGTGAACAGAGGTTTTTCCCAACTGCAAGCATCCCATCCCCGGACGTTCCCTCTCCCCAAATCAAAAAACTAGAGTCAACAAGCTGCATGGTTCTCATAGGGCCTCAAGATCAAGCAAAACCGTTTCGGGTGATCTGCAGACACGAGCAAGGTTTCCAACAAACAGCGAGCTCCAGCAACCAAGCCCCCGATGCCGAACCGCGAGGTCCTCTTTCACATGCATCTTGACTCATCGAATCAACAGACTGCAAATACAACCTATATGGAAGTAGTCTAGGAATTCCTGTGGGAATTAAGGAATATTCAAAATTCCTACAAGAATTTAAAAACCATTCCGGCGCCTGGAGTATTTGCAGAAATATTCAGACTTCACTTAAAGTAGTAGGTTGTGCCACGTCACAGCGCTGTCGGACGAGCTGCGTCGAGACCTGGAATGCCAGGCAGGAAAGGCTCATTCTGAACCTTAAGCACTGAATCTGTGCCCCAAAGCAGGGCGTAGTTCTCACTTGCATGGAGAACGCCAGACAGCCTGCCCAACTGGTAAGACCAAAAGATCTGCTCCGATTACTTTATGTGAGTCACCTGCAGTTGAATGGTCTAGTTGTACCAATCTTGTGCTGTACGGCTAGTGGAACAAAGAAACCCACAATCTATGGAATCAGGTGCATGGAATCTCAGCAACGTTATCGAAAGCTGCATTTTGGTGATAGTGTCCTCTAAAACTCGTACTAAACCTTTACTAGAATCCAAACCCTCAAGCCAGCGAGCCCCCAACCAGGAAGGCCTTCACGAGAAACAAACCAGTAGAAACGAATGACATTCCGTCGTTCATGGCCAGAACAGCAACACTCGTGAACAGCGTCGGCAACTGTGAACGTGAGACCAATCATATGAATCATATGTATAAATAAGTTCGCATTCAAGTCGGGACAACGTCGATAGCCAATTGAAGCACACACAGCACAACAATCAGAAGTCAGAACACCAATCAGCTATCCAGATGAAAAATAGAATCCTCATTCTGACAACAGAACGGCTTGTATGCAGTCAGGTAGCGCAGCGCCCGATCCCGCTGCTGGCGCCGGTCACCACAGCCTTGGGGCAGGAACCCAGGCATCCATGGAAGTTCATTGGTATTTACAAGCATGGTCATCTGCTGCATAATATGCCCCAAATATGAGCGCAAGAATCTACGTCTCTGCGTCTTTCATGTAAGCCTGCTTACACTACCAACGATCCAAAGCGGGTTTCAAGCCAACAGATTTAGGTTCCAGAATTGCAGATTAGGTTGCTTTTTAAGCTTGCCCTGCGATTAGCCTTTCGGATTTGGTTTGAACTCCTGAGACTTTAAAACTTTAAGCCTGATCTGAAAACGTCTGTATCGGCTGTAAGCAAACCCTGAGCCCGGTACGGAAAAGGCTGAATGTTAACACCACGGGTGTTACTGCGCACTCTACAACTGCAAGATACTGCAAGCATATGAGGTGATAAGTTCTTTCACAGAGGAAAAACATAGACGGGTTGCAGCCGGCTCTGCCAGCGTCGCCCCCGGAGTGCCAAAAGCTTGTTATGGCTGGGGACCCGGTTCATGCATGTTGATACTTCTGTTCTCTGTTTTCTCCAGATTTTGCAGGGGGCGTTTGGTCTGATGAGGACTTTGTGGTCTGGGACTGGGAGGGAAACCCGTGGATACCTCTTCAACACGCAGATATTACTCTTGCTGCCTTTGTTGCTGCTTCAACCAACCGAGCGGCGACGCGACCGGACAGATCCTTGGACAAGTCCTTCTCCTGGATTCGTACAAATCGAAGGTGAGAGTGGTGTTTCTAGCGCAGTATTGACACAAGAACCATTGCTTAGGAAGCATGTTTTATGGGTTGAACAATCTTAACTCAACCTACCTTGCCTGGATCGGCACGGAGCCCGAACACCAAGTAATTACACCGTAGCAGACGCTGTGATGAGCCTGTTCAAGAAGTTGCAAGCGGAGACTTCTTGCCCTCAGCCCTTGGAAGTTGCGACAGTACTTTGTGAAAAAAGGCTATGTTTAAGCCTTCCACATGAATGATGCTTCAGATGGTGCAGTGCCACATGATGAGATGTAGAATCACCCTTGTGCAGCTCGCCAAAACCGTTCATACGGACTTCTTGAGTTTGGCCGACGAGCTGTGTTGCCAACGAATAAGCCTCCGACTAGAGTTGAAGTTGAAGGCAAGTCAAAGCCTAAAGCTTGACGACAAAAAATCCAAAATGAGCAGGGCTTCCGTGCAGTAGCGGAGGTTGCCGCGAAAGTCGTACGTGGCAACCGTAGCCATGGCGGAAAAAGGACAGACTTACACGGCAAGGTTTGGGCTGACGGTGCAGGAGCTGGGTAGTGCGGGAGGACTGCAAAGTATCGGAGCTTGTATTGATGCTTGCGGGCTTAAGCGGGCATGTGACTGGGGTGGGTACGTATATGACTTGCGGAGTATGGTTTGAGCGAAACGCGTGTCTGTGAAACTCATGTGTGCAATCAGCATAGCCCCCAGGCTGAAGGGGCACCATGTGGCAGCCTGGTGAGCCAGCACGACTCTGCGGAACGAGGTTCTGTGAGTGAGCTGGACTGAGGGTGAGACCAGACTGCGACAGTTCTTGGAGTTATGCGCTTGATGGGCACCATGGGGATAATTACAGGCAATCATGTGTGGCGGGGGAATCATAAGCAAACCTATGCCTTAATTATGCCCAGTGCTATCATTCGTCATGCATCCTCACAGTCTCTACGAATTTCCGCCATTTCATGCCCGTCTAATCATTCGTCAAGGCCGTCTGCACTCAAAATCCAAGGCTCGCACGACATCTTCTGCAGGAAGCCCGGCGACGTCTTTGACGCCGCCGCCTTTGCATCTTCAGCCTCACAGCACATCTTAGCAACTCCTTACAAGTAGGATCCTTCTTGCTATTGCGATTCATATCCCTCACTGCGCGTTGTAACTCACATTCTTACTAGAATAGCAATGTTCATGTTGGCAGTGGTGGCAACAGCAGCAGCAGCAGCAGCAGAAGCAGCAGCTGCAACAGGTCAACATCGGAAGAGGGTCGTGGCCAGAACCCTGCATGATACTATGTGATGGGAAATCATGGGGTACTACCGGAACGGTTGGGGTATCCAAAAACACAAGATTCTGTTCCTCAAAATTTCAGGCCCTCCGAAGGAGGCGGGAGGACAGGGATGCTCTGTGAAGAGTGGGCATCTGAGCAAGGTATGGATTCTCTCCTTCAACTGTTTCTCCTCTGTTTGTATTCTGCTGTGACGCTCGTCTTGTTGCTATTGAGGCTGCTCCACAAGAACGGATTCAGGCAATTTCCCCGCGTCAGTGATTTGAGGACCTCTCAGACCGACTCTTCCCCAGGGAAGAACCCTAAATGTTAAACCCTTGACCCTAAATCTTAAACGTTTACGTTTAGGCAACCGAAGCATCAACTGCCGAAACCAACCAAGCAGCTCCTGAAGCCTTAGCTCCTACGCTTGCATCTTGAGACCTAGAGCCCTAAATCTTAGACTCTGATACCTGAGATCACCTCCACATTGCGCCGCTGCTCGCGGCGCAGGCGGTTTAATTTCTGCTCCGAGAGGTCCTGCAGAGAATAGGAACTAGCTTTTGTTGCGCGCGGATCAGATGAACCTGCAAAGAAGCAATCTGAGCGAATCATGTTGGTGGCTGTCGAGGTTTCTAGACTAGTTCTCGAGTCTCCCAAATGTGAACATCATGATGAATTCGAAGAAGGAACTGTAAACCAAGGAAGGAGTCACAGCAAGAATGCTTCTGGCCAAAATCCATGGAATGGGAGGGCGCGCATTTTGGGGCGTACAAACCTCCATAACGGGTGGGGTCCAGGACTAGGTTTGGTGCAGGGATCGTGGTCCGAATTTAGTTTTTGCCAGTTGTTTGTGCAGAAGCTACTTATCTGCTGCTGCAGCCCGGCAAGGCTTGAGAGGGGCCATTTGGCTCTGGATCCTAGAACAATTTTGAAGGCCTCCTGCCAAGGCTTGGAAATGCAGACTGACGGCCCAACAGACAGGATTCACAAACTCTGTTTCGAAAAGGAGCGAAGCGCTCGCATTAGGACTTTGAGCCTGGGACCCGACGTCCACTGCCTTTGCCTTGCAATCCTGTCGGTGGCGACTGGTATTTCGTATGTGCAAAAGTCAGGGTTGCTGCATACCTGGAGCCCAAGACCTTGTTCAGGATGAGACAACTCTCGGGGACGGACAACAAGCTCTCTGAAAGCTGGCTAGCTGCCTGAATGCTGGTGTCATGGGAAAGGGCCTTCTTCAACACTGTGGGTCCTCTTTGGAATCGCCAGCTCTGGGGACTATACATTGGGGTTACAAAGGACCTGAGTCTTGAACAACTCCTTTATGCATCTGCATCCCTTCAAACAGGACGTTCTGATTTTAAGGTACATCCTGAATTGACAACCTCAACGGCCCCTTTGCACACTGCCTGGCGCGCAAGAACGTTGTGCTGAAGACCCCTTACGATGCTGGGCGGTCATGACCTGAATCCTTGCAAACGTAACAACATGTTTTTGGTACCTTTCAGCCCCTTGAGCAAATTCCCGGTGCGGTCGTTCAGCCACTCCGCAAACATGAGCTCCTTGCAGCCAAGTGAGCTGTTGTCAAGAAAATCCTTCATGGAGGCTTCTCATGCAGAGTGTAGAAAGTAACGGATCTAAAGCCTTGTACGGGGATGGATCCTGGGATTGGGTGGAACCGTGCCGATTGATCACACTGCTAGACCACTAGACTTAGAAACAGCCTGGAGGCTCCGGGACAAGTGCAATCACTGCTTTGATGTACATCAAACGTGGCCATAGCTACTGCTATTCTTTTAGCGCTGACTCTAGGTATAAGGGTGCTTAGAACCTCAAGGAATTGGGACTGGGTCCCAGGCCCAAAGCTCGGCACCCTCCGCTGCCTGCAGGACTTGGGATTCTCAGAAGAAAATTGTGATTCTGCAGAATGTCATCTCAGGATTTAGGATTTGGACTAGGGGCTTAGAAGCTTAGAGCTTGAGGAGCTTTGGTTCTTGGTGTTGCGAACAGGGGCTTGGCGTTTGAGAGTTTTTGCGGCAAGGGGCATGAGGCTGGGGAGCTTTGAGCTCAGGGGTTTAGAGGTAGGTTATGGAGATGGTACAAGCATCCTTTCAGCATGGTAAGGCCTCAGACCTGGAGGTCCTTCTGCTGTATGGCAGACCACCTTGCTGTGAAATGGACACCTGTAACACCTTGCTGCCAAGGCTTTCATAGAAACCGCAACTGCAACGCAACAAGAAACCGACTTCGCTGAAATCTCCATTCACTCCAAACAAGGCTTCAGAAGTGTGTCCTCCACATAAGCTGACCGAGGCTGAAGGTTGAAGGCTTAAGTCTCGGCATGTTGCACGCAGGAAGGGGTCTCTGCTGATAAAAGTGATTACTACAAGATCGGGATCCCCCATTTCAAGATCGAGATGCCCAAGAAATAGCTCTGCTTGTCATCAAACACACACACACACTTGGACACTCTGCCTGGGTGGGGCTGGATGTACATTACATACTCTGAATTCGCCGGGACAAGAGAGGTGGGAATCCTGAAAGAACTTCGAACAAATCTGCGGCCTCTGAACCTCTAATGCACCCCGCCCCATGCAAAACTGAACCCCTGGCAGGCCTTGGCAATTCCTCGGCAGTCGCAGGGCGATCGGAGGTAAACGAACGCGTCGGGGATCGACGTGCATTTCCTTAGGGATGGAGACCCAGGCTTCTGCCGACAGGCCCTAGCTATGAGAAGGGGGTTTGTCTGTTCAGGAATGCGTACAGAACCTTGAGCTCCAGAAACGAATATGCCATAAGACCAGAGAAGTAGCAAGCAGAGGCACGTCTGGCTTCAATCTGGTTGGCGTCTACATACTCTTAGGCTAGAGTCTGGCATCATGCTTCGAGGGTCCCTGCTTTCCACAAGCTACAGCAGAGATGATCATCCGGCAACATGTTGTTAACCTTTGACTTCGGCCTGCGTGACGATGCATCGAAGCCAAGAGAAACCAAGAAGAACAGCCCCAGCATAGCAAGGGGGTGTAGGAAAATGCCGTGCCTCCTGGCCGACAGTTGCAGGGCGAGGATCCTGGTGCTTCTTGGGCCAGATGCATGTGCGGTACCTTGCCCTGATGAGCACGAACTCTGAAATCAGTATTTAATGCCAGGGCTTCACCTTCCTATGCACCTCCGATAAAAGTCTTGCCTTGCAGCTCGACACCTAAAGGCAACATCCCAAATGCAAAGACCGTTGCAGGGTCTCCACATTCTAGCCTACACGGGCAGGTACCACAATCTTGAACAGCTGTCATCTCTAACCTAAACTGTCAAGGGCTTGAACGTATGCGGGCTCCTGGGCCCCCCTTCATCCTGCAATTGTCTTTTGAGCAAAGGTGCAGGAGCTCGGAGCTTCTGAGGTTCAGAATTGCCAGGGCTAGGCGGAAGAGGGTGACGGAGCCCTCGTAGAGCACCTGAGCAACGGTGTAATGGCGAAATCAGCAACCATACAGTTCCTTCTAGACGACGCAAGGATCTTGAGGCAGCATGGTCTTGTTCCGTGTCATACCTGCGGCCAGAGATCCTCAATTGCTGGTCTCATGGTCGAGCACTACAACTCCGAAACCTTTCATTCCATTGCTTGTGTTCACTGGTAAGTACTCATGTAGTACCACGTCTGTCTGGTGAATCGTCGCCAGCGACGCAATTTCACCATCTCTGCCACTCTCTCTACTTGTTGTAGTGTTGTCCTTCTGCCAAGGGCTACTTCCTAGCCCAGAAACCGGCGCCATGGACTGACAAGGCCCGCACTGTGTCCAGCACTCGATGGGACCACTTGGGTGGCAGTGTGTTCAGAAACAGGCAGAGGAACCAGTTCCTTGCAGTGCTACTACTGGCTCTTAAATCTCTTGGGCTCTAGGGCCTGGAGCCTTGGAACGTCGACTGAATCTCATGCTGTGGGGGCTTTCAAAATCCAGGTTCACATGTCAACGAGCTTCACTTGGCAATCCCTGACAGCAAGAAACGGTTTTTTTTCAGAAGTCACGTGTAGACAGTTGCATGAAGCGGTATCGCTACAGTGAAGGGGTCTGGACAAAGTAGCAAAGCTGAGTTCACTGTCCGTCATCAGACTAAACTATTGTTGGACAGTGGCACCACTGGCACTGTCCTCATTACACCAACCACAGCCCGAAACCACGTGACAATGATTTGACTGACATGGCATCCTGACTGTAAACGCCAGATATCAAAAATCATTATACTACAATCCATTCAAGCCCTCTGCCGATGCTCTATGTAGATGCTAGACATGAAGGCACACCACAAAGCGCTTGTCGCAACAGTACCTGAATCAGAGGTTGCAAAAGCAGGAAGCCATGCTGACTTATGCCATAGTCCTGTGCCCTCAACCCTGCATGTCCAAAGCAGCGTTGCCTGAAAGCTAGTGAGTATGCTGCCTCCTCCCAAGATTCAACACGACGTGGGGTATCCAAAACCTGTATAACTTTGTGACAGCCCTGAATGCCTCTCACAAAAAACAAACAGGCTTTAGTTGTTTCAACATGACATTGAAATATTCCCTGCTTTCCAAGTGTCACCGTGATCGGTGAGAGGTCGATTTCTGGACAGGGTGGTGGTCGTTTTTCGCGCTGATTGCTACAGCAGGCTTTTCTAAACATGTGTGTTTGTGGTGTTTCTGTACGTACCATGCTGCTGCACATCTATGTCAACAAAGGCCTAGTGTTGGATTCTGCAACACCTCTGGGAGTTTGAAAAGTCACCTGGGTGCCTTGGAATTACAAGAGGACCCACATGTTGGGAAACAAGTAATGCCCATGAAAGGGCCCCTGATTCTCTGCTCATGTAGCAGTTGCTTGTTCTGAGCCTCCACCATCTTCTGTGAGTCAAAGCTCTGATGCCGTATTGGAGGGGATTCCGATAATGCGGGCCCAGTCTTGAGAAGTACTCCTGTTGCTGAGGCTACGTGGAGGTGATCCATCTGCACAATCTCTCTGGCTCATGCGTTCCATTTCTCGCCCCCCAAAGGGGGCATGATACCCTGGCCGGATCCTGGGGAAGTTTCGGAAACCTTCATGCATGTCCAACCTTAGTGGACTCAGAAAGTTTTTATTGATGATCCAACTTTGCTGCTACTAGCCTCAACACTCCAATCTTGAATCCCAAGCCGTCTACCTCAGACTGCCTTCTCGAAGACCTTCAGCCCTGAATTAAAAACTCAAGACTTCAGGATGGGGATGCAGGGCAAGGCCATGCCAAAACGCGTAGGGATCACCGCAGCTTGTAAGTCGCTCGATGCCTGGATAACGCCCGAAGCTGAACAGAAAAAAACTGGAAATCAAAGAGGGCGTAATTTTCAACTTGGTTTTAACTTCGCTCTTAGTGTGTCCAATATTGGGGGCTGTGAAGGTGCAACCATTGGACCGCGGCAACATGTCTCCTGAATCAATCTTTCTTCCTGAGCCCCGAAAAACAAGCTGTTCCTGAACCCAAACGGAGGTCCCAAAAATATGTATTTTCCCTGAACAAGGAGATGTTGCGCTTAGGATGCGTGGGGACTTAATTGCCAACAGAGGAGGCCTTGCGTCTCCAAGTGCTCTGCCAGTTCTGGCAGGTACTGTTGTAGGAGCCTCGGTGTTCTTGCAACTGTCCATCTTGAAGGATCTTGGGGCTTTAGCAAACTTCTGGGAAGGATAGATGCAGCCGACTTAGGGCTAAACAAATTACACACGTGCACTGGCCAAGCAGTCATCACAGTTTCGACGCATCTTCTGGCAGATCTTAGGCTTCAGGTGATCAAGAAAGTAGCTTTTCGTAGCGCTTACCGCTTTGGACACCCTGTTGCAACAAAACAAGACGAGCAGATACTGAGGTTTTGTTGTGTCGGGCTCACGTGCACACCTGCATGGTTCACCAACTCCTTTTCGGCAACGCATACATTCCAGCTTACAACCCTGCAACTACAAAAATGTGTCACGCACCTCAAACTGGAACCTTGACCTACTTGCGAAACAAAGAAGAAAATTCCACTCTGCGAAACTATAGGACGTGGAAGCGGCTTCAAGAGTCCGAGATTTTCTCATTCACCCGTAACCCTGAATCTGAATCTGCAGTTCACAAAAACAAGCTGGAACGAAGTGAGCCACAAACTCTCTAAACAATTGCATAATCTAATAGCCATCACTGCCAACATGCAGGAGGTGGTGGTGGTGGTGGTGGTAGTAGTAGTAGTAGTAGCAGCAGCAGCAGTAGTACATTGGAATCTGCGTCATAATTACTGTACCAACAAAAAACAGCACTGCAGCATGTAGACGTGGTGGTGGTAGAGATGATACTGGGCGTGGTGACCATCAGCGTTGCAAGCACTGCCTATTGCCATACTACCATATGCGGCCATAAAGACACATTCAGGACGCGGAGGTCGGTCCGCAACCCCACCATTCGTGAGGCAAAGTATCCCTGCAGTGTAGTAAGCTGCTGGACTGGGCCGGGGAGTTCATGGGCTTGAGCGGATGAAGCATAATATGCATGAAGTTTGCTCACAACAAAGGTGAACAAAGGCCTGTGTGTGAGATCCCGACGGCAACTCTTCATAAGCAAAACAGGTAATGAAGTGCGGTGCGCAGCGTCAGGCTTATGTTCAGAGACTAAAGACTAAAGCTGAATTGCAGCTCGAAGGCGAAGAGCTAGGTTGAGCCCAGCAGGAGTCTGAAACAGGATTGAAATGCTGTCGCGAAAAATCTGCTCAGCATAGTAGACACTACGCTACTTGCAATAGGAATCTTCGGGCAATAGTGCTGATAACTCCTCCCTATGCCTTTCGCATGTCGGTGACAACTTCAAGCACGCCATCTAACTGTCAACTCCTGTCTTGAACTTCAGGCGGCACCAAGAAGATGCAACTAGGTCCGGCAGACCCGTAGCTTCATGTTTGAGAAGCCTGTAGAACCTCCTGCCTCTGGCAGAACATCTTCCAAGAGCCCGGATAAGGTCCAAAAGGCCGTCTCCTGGCACAGGGCAACCCCATGCAGGTTTGACTATTTACCAAGATCCTCGAGCTCAGGACCCGCTGCTGCACGTGCTGGGCATTACTTTGACACTCATCACCCTACTTTGCTTGCAGCAACCGACTCAGGAATACCCGTAGGCTATGATGCAGGACAGCGACTGCCGCAAGGTAGCCCAAACAAGACGTCCTAGCCTCTTTCACAACAGTCACACAAGCCGATCAACCACAAAGTCTGGATGACAGCTACCGCCCCACATGGCCACATCTGCCTCCGGCAGGTAGTGAAGCAATGTGGCGGCAACGAAACTCATTGACTGGCAGTAGCCGATGTCCTGAGAGAAGAGCCGCTGAGACAAATCGACCTAGATGTAGAAAGAGGTTGTATCGAGGTAGACCAGCACGGCAACATCGCTGTATGTTTGCGGATTGTCTACGGCTAAATCTCATAGAAATCACAAACCAGGGTAGCGCCAGAAACGGTATGCCAACAAAAACAATAGTATGCCCGAGAGCAATGGGCTGCACAACGCCTTGCAGCAGATGTATTTTCCATCTTCGCCCGAGTTGCCGGATTGGCAGCTGCAAACGACAGAAGCACATTCTCAAGGCTGCAAACATCCACCTGGGCTGTTCAGGGCAAGCATCCTTCTTGGAAGGATCGCCTCAAGGAAGCTGCTGACACTCGGTCAACAATTTGGATGTCTATTTCAACAGGGGTGGGAGAGTCCAGGAACATGGTAGCAATGAGACGGGAGCTTCCTGGCAACCAGACCTGAGCCCCGCTTCAAAGTCCTTCTCTCAATCCCCTGGCTGTAGGAGAATATAGGTCTAGTATAGGTTTAGGAGTGTTGTGTTGGGTGTGCCCCCCAAACACCAAAAGAGCGCGACAAGGCACGTTTTCCATGCCGGTGCGATGAAGGTCAGCCTCTTCAAGGATTCAAAAGCTTCCAGAGTACAGGCTTTTGGTATGAGGTAAACTCAGAGGCAGACATAACAAGCAAATGAAGATGCCACTACCTTATGCTGACTTTTGGCCGGAATTGATTTGAATCTCGTCAGTGAAGCCTCACGTCACGAGCAATATTGGCCCATGATCCCGAAACATCCCTAAACTAAGACACGCGAAAGCAAAGACTTCAAACCTTTTCTTTCGCGAGAATGCGGGCCTGTTGATCCCTCAGAATTCGGTATTAGTTTAATGCAAGATCCCAACTTCAACATCTGCCTCAGACCTCGAAGACTAGAATCCACGTCACGGAGCCCTTGTGCCCGACAACTTGGTCAAAATTGGCAGCACAAAGAATGTCCAGATGAAGCCAACCACCAACATTGCGCCAGCATCCTAAACCCCATCCCCAGGCCTCTTTCAAGCAGAACCAAACCCACAATTGGGCACCTCCCTTTAGATACACATCCATGCTAAACTGCTAAGATCTCCCCTACTCCCCGGTGTTGGGCCTGGATGGTGCGCACCGCCTCAACGTCTTCAAGGGCTTTGCCGTCAGCGACGAGACTCTCGTAGGGACGACCTCCCAGGATTTCGGAGTCTCGGGTTTCAATCATACTTCCTTGGGTGTAAACGTTTGGAGGGTTAACGGCCTCGAAGAGGTTGACTCTTGAAGGTCCGGGTCAAGCATTTAAATATGGACGGACTTTCTTCAACGAGTATTCACAAGAAGATTGCGAGGCTTCTGGGGCTGTTCCAGATAGAAGCTCTTGCTCTTGCATTACGTCGGGTGTTCTGGTTCTTGGGTTTAGGCTACCGGCTTTAGGGGTGACCGTTTCGGGTGGAGAAATGTCCTAGGTTTCGCAGTCAAACCTGAGGGCCTGACCCCAGCAATCTAACTTCTGCCCTCAGCCGCAAGTGAACCAACCCCACACATGGAAGGTGCTGCAGGCCGCCTTTGCTCTTGCGCTTGGCTGCCGAAGCTGCTAGAAGAGGCCACGCACCTCGGGAGAAGGTCGAAGGATGTGGCGATCACGCCGCTGATCGCAGCCATTTTGCTGGGAACTTTGGGGGTGATTGTCATAATGATGCACTTCTGGGAGTGCTCATTGTTTGGGGCCAAGTCTTACAGCATCTCCTTCACGATGCAGTTCGGATACCCCATTGCCAGGACAAGGACAGCTGCATGCCAGCTCGTACCCCGCCTACCTCATGAACGCAGAACGCATTCTAGGATCATTGCAAAAAGAGACCCCGATAAGCGTAGGTATGACTTTCAGGCACCACCTCGTCATCCCTGCCGACCCTACAAAAACTACAGACACTCCATCAAACTCAAAGGGAAGCATCAAAATTCATTGTGGCTGTAGTAACCCGGGGAACCACATGACTGCTCAACAAAGTCCTGATAATCTTTGAACCACCTCAGTTCTTCAACCCTGCAGCACCCCTTTAATTATACAGAGTCCCGTGAAACTTGTTACCTCGTCATGGTCTTGGATATGAACCCCAGATCTGAGCTAGCTGGCCACTGCGATCCTCTGGGTCAAGGCCAGACCGAATGACCGCAGTCACCTCCGGCAAGATTGCGTGGAAGGTTTGGAAGGGAAGGCCTTCAGCAGCTTAATGAGAAGAACCTGGGGACCTAGGGATAAGCCCACTCTTGGCAGGGCCCCAGCCAAAGGGCTCCTACTCCCATGTCTTCATCTGTTTGAGGGTCCCACATGAGAATGAAAGCATCACAAGCTTGAGAACCCCCCATACGAAGCTGGCAGTCTGGGTGCGGTCAAATGCTGGACCTCTTCCACACCTTCCGCAGCGAAGTCCTCTGCAGGTTTCCACTTCTCCTCAACGGCTCGGGTACAAGTAGCTGCGGTGGCAGCGGAGGGTCTTGGGAGTTGGTGTTGGCAGTCAGGGCAGTTTTGTGTCGCTTGTTATGATGGGCGCAGGCCTCAAGGATCCGTGGCCAGCAGCCTTACCTTGCCTTTGCTCGGTGTTATAAGGTTTCTGCACTCTTCTCAATCGCCCGCCATTCCTAATTCTGCCAGAGACCTGTACTTCTAGCGCGTTCCCGTTCAACGATTGTGCACTGCAACTACTACGTCGCCTGCGTATGCTTCCCATACAGTGTTCTTCCGCAACTATGAACCGTAAGGATAAAGCACAGACGCCCACCCTCCGAATCTCCTCAGGAAGCTCCTGTACAACCTTGGTTTCAGGCTGTATTTGCAAGAACTATTGTATCTCAGACATGGGGACGACCTGCGGATTGTCAAAGGAGTCTATGGCCATCTGGGGATTGTCAAAGGGGTTGATCATTATCTACATGGGAATAGCAGAAAGCAAAGATGCAGGGTTATCCAGGCACATGAACCTATTCAGGGACGATGCCATGCATCCGCAAACCTGTCTGGAATATCTCAGAATGGGTAGGGATACTGATATCATCGCATACTCCTCGCGCAACTTTGATGGCTGGAAATGGCGCTGTAAGTTTGGACGGCTGAGGCTTTGGGGACCGGATTTGCGAGTGGATCATGGGTCGCAGGGGAGCCTACGCAGCTGTACGTCCAAACGTCTTGCACTCCCTGTACTTATCCCTGAGATAGCTAGCCGGATCTGGAAACAAGTACTGCAAAACTACACGCAAAGTGTTGACACACCCCACAGTGATATATGCTCCTAGCTCCTTAGGAGACATCAACTTGAACAGCTGTTTACAACAGCAGCCTCAACAAGGTTGTCCTTTTCAGTTGGGGCATGTTGGGGCGGCCTAAGGAAGGATAAGCATTTTGGTTTGGAATCTGTTCCGACTTCTGCTAAAGCCTGCTAGACAGCTTGCGTATGCTTGACATCCATGGCTCGTGCAACATACACACACGTCGGCTAGACCCGAGTGAAAGTCTGCCGCCTAGACAGCCCCCTGTGACAGCGAGACTGTGCATTCGAGGCCCTGCAAAAAGCATCGTAGAACTGAACAAGCTTCCCTGGCCAAACTCCGAAACTCGTTGCAATGCCCAATAAAGACAGGCTGGGTTTCGTAGATTCTTTCAAGCTCCAAAGCATACTGCAAACAGGCAGCCATCTCGAAGCTGTCAGCACTTTCATGGACGCCCCTTGCACAATGAAACATTTGAGCGTTGCTCGACATGTTGCAGCTCTCTTTGATGGTATTAGCTTTACCTGCAGTAGCTCGCGAAACCTCTATGCTCAAGGCGGACTTTTTGATGAAAACGAGCTTGCAGTGCTTGCGGTGGAACCATGAAAATAAGTAAGTCAGGCAGACCACAAAAATGGAGGTTAAGGTGCTTGCGGTGAAGCTGAAGTGATGGCTGGTGCTTGCGGTAGCGAATGAGTACCAGATCTGTTTCCGGCAGCCTCGACTTTGCCACTGGCCTAACTCTTTCCTTCAAAAGAATTTGTGACTTCTGTTCATTTGTCGATCGGGGCGATGAACTTGACGGAAGTCACTATGCACAACCTCATTAGTGACACACTCTTTCCGAAAATGAAGCTGCGGCACGTTCCCAATCCTAGCTCTATTCAAGGACTGTGGCAACCCTGCCAGATACTCCAGTTGCCATACAAATACCGGACACCAGGTCCATCTTTGTGCTGGCCACGTGCTGCGTGAATGCTGGTACGCGCAAGTACCTTGTTAGGACCCTCCTTCGCCCAACCAGAACATACAAACCGCACACCTTTGGGTTCAGGAGCTAGGCTTTGACTACTGAGCTTACAATACCTGAATCAAACAAGAGCACCGATGAGCCTCCAGGCGCTTAGCCACCCTTCCGAACGGCTCGGGGCAACATCAACCCTGGATGGTGCGGGTAATAGCTTTTTTTTTCCTACATATGGAGATTGGATTGGTTCTCGGTGTCGGGAGGGAGGGGCTACGGGATGAGATTTGCGCCCACGATTGTCTGGAGAATGGCAAAAGCTTCCTCTGGAGCACGTTCGGGGAGGCGGATTGGTGGATTCTATTTCAAACAGAGGTACAGACGCTTCACGGACCTTTGAGCGTAGCCTTGCTTGGCTGTCCTGAAAGCAGGCGGTATAACTGATACTACGCTTGAGTGGCAACGAGACACAGCGTTGTTTATGTTGAATGGCGCCTTTTGTCAAGAAGCTCGCGCAGACCACATACTCTCAACAAATGGGGTTCTATCTTTGGAAGGGTTCTTGCTACAGTAGATAAATGTGTCTGCGGACCCTGGACACCCCTGGCTGTTCAAAGCAATGAAATGACTCTGCATCTTAAAGGGGATGGCAGAGGGGAGAATGACTCAGTTCGGGCTCATGCCGTCCAGGCAATCTGAAAAATTGCTTGGGAAAATCGATTCGAAAGTTGGCGAGGGCTAGGCGAGGGCAACCTGAAGGTTCAGCCAACAACTTATATGCCAAAAATCTGGCACCATCAGTATACCCAGAGACATGGCAGACAGGACGAATGAGAGCGCTGCGCCCAGGATTACACACACGAAAGCCCAAGTCCAGTCAGGTTTATGTGAACTGCCTGACATGTGCTTGTTTTACCATTGCCCTACCGGCTCAGGGTCCCACCATGGCTCATCTGGCAACGAGGCAGTGACCTCAAATCAAGACAAGCAGGAGGACCCTCCGACCCTCCCCCGGACTAACATGGAACCCCCAAAGGCCCTTTAAATGGGACCTACATGGAGTTACATGATGCAGTGATCAGAGCCTCCACTTCGTCTTTGCCACGACCAGGAGATCAAGCACCCCAAAAGCCAAACTTGCAACCTTACATCTCGCGTCAGCAACCCGGGAAGAAACCACAAATCCCTAACTCGCAACCCTAAATCACTAACGGATCGCCTACCTACAGCCCTCGACTCTCTAACCTGAGGCTTGGACCCGTCCTGGTGGCGCCCGAGGCTTCCTCGCCCGGTAGCTGTGTTTCCCTTGGAGCAATTCTTGCAGGAATTAACTCTAAGGATGAACTTGTCTCTTTCGAAAGCTCACTGGTGTAGGAGTACGAGCAACAGTGAGCACTTTAGGATACTCGTCCAGTAAACAGGAAAGATAAGAATGGCCACGAGTGCATCTGAAAGTCTGAGGCTTAAGGCTTTGGGGTTTCATAGGCTTGCCTAGCAGTGCAGTTGCTCAAGTTGTTGGATGCTGGGCCGAAGGCTCTGGACAGCTGTTAGCCCTTGACGACCACCAGGACAGAACAAGTTACTATTGCTGAAGCTTGGGCAAGAGGGTCTAGAACTATCTGAAGAACCTTGCAATCAACTTGTGCGTAGCAATCAGAGGCGGCTAGACTCAGACTGCACACGTTTCACGAAAATCACATGGCATGAGCCTCTTGCGATAGCGAAGCCTTATGTCAACTCCGCTCCCCAAGCTCAGTCAACTTTTGGCAAGCGATGAATCGATCTGGTGTGAAACTGCGAGTCCTTTCCCGGCACATGAATGAGATCTGAGATACTTGTCGAATTAGCTTGACTTTTAGAGAGCGGATGATTCGTTCTGTTTTGAAAGCTGAAGAGAAACCGCAATGAATTTGCCAGGCTCACGTCCGGACTTGTTCAGTTCAGCATGACGTTTGCAAGACTGGGGCTTTGACTACGGCAGTGGAGGAGGCATTCATCAATAGAATGTCACTTTGTACGTAACTGTGCTGTGGCAGCTCATAAACCTCATGCAGACCGACGTCCCAAAGACAGCTTCTTTGTCTATGATGGGGCTTGCCTAAACGGCTATTCGTAATCGATGGCACGCGGCCAGAGCATTGCACAATCACAGCTCAGCAGTAGGATGTTTGATATTGACAGCGGAAGTAACAGCTTGAATGCTGCTTGCAATACCTGTTGAAATGAGCCGCGACAAATGTGTACCTCATGCTGTGCCACAGGGAAACGACTCAGAATTGGCAAGGGCTGGCAGGATTGAAAGCATTTGGGGTGCAGAGAGCCTGCCCGTGTGGACTGGATCCCAATCACACTTAGACTGTGGAGCTAAAAATGCGATATATCCTTCGGATCTCTAGCCTGATTCGAATCGGCTTCCCAGGCGATCTGCGTAACTCTTTACAAGATTTGTGGCCTTCAACTCATGGCACCGGCACGCTTGAACTCCCATTGAAGCTTTGAACTTACGGAATTCTACCCCTAAAGCTAGTGATTACTAGAGAGCTTAGCTCTACCAGTTGGGCTTTAGGTCCACACACGCATACCCAGAATTCCCACGATGTGCTTTTTGTCCTCAGATCCCACACACGCTGCGTGTCAACATGTGATGTCTGACAGAAACTCGCGCACAAAGAAGCGTTTTTTAAGGTTAGCCAAAAAAGGTGATTGCACTGGGCAAAGGGGAACGCTTGCCGATTGAGCCCAAGAATCCTTTGTCCAGCCGCCCCAGACCTTTCTCGGCAAGTTAAAAAGATCCCAAACGGTGTTTGCGAGTGTAGTTGTCAACATGATTGACCCATTCCGCCGTTTCCGCTTGCCGACAATTTCCCTCTTCTCTCTAGACTGCCACTCATTAGTAGGCATCCTCGCTTACAAATCGAATGCTGCAAGCGCTGCACACTCATTTCGAATGTAAATGGTGCGTCAACTTTGAAGTCCTTTATGTCAAGAGGTGCAGGCGTACTGCGAGTACTGCTACTCCGAACTTGTATCAACTCACAACTAGGGAAAGCTTCAGTCTAGATCATTGCTTTCACCAATTAGAGCAGGGAAGGTACGACATCACGCGCTCCTTCAGGCAAACCCCGGAGGATCCAAGACCTCAAGATGTTAAGTGCACAAGCCCGAGCTTTTCAACCTTCAGCCCGCCAGCCCCAACACGGTCTTCCTGACCCCCAGCCCCAAAGAGGCCTGTGGTGCCACAATGATTCCATCCTCGAAGTTGAAGTGAAAGCCTCAGATTCTGCAGAACTAGTGTAGGAACTAGTGTAAGGGTCTATGGCTCCCGGAGTTCCGAAAGGATCAGCTTTCGAAAAGTCCAAGCAACAATCGGTCAGCTTCTTTGCCATGATCTGAGTGGCTTTCCTTGGGTGGTGCTTTTTGGGCCCTGAGCTGTGTAACAGATGCAGCCACTTGATTCACATCAACCTCGAACCCTCACAGCACGAAGCAAGTTGTAAATCAGCTCCACCCCCTTAACCCAAAGGAAGGAAGCTAGGGCTTCCGAATGGAAAGGGCTATCCTGATCTCCTACCACTCTACACCATGATCCGAACACCTGCCCAGCCAACTACACCCAGGATCTTGTAGGGTCTGGGACTTGAGGTAGACACTAATTCTGCACCCACATGTCCTTAAGGTTTAGACGGTTTGTTTGCAATCAAACGTTCGCCAAAGATGCTTGTGCTTGTCAGCATACTCGTCCTCCTCATCCACATCCTTCAAGCCAGTCTGGGTAAATTGAGACTGAAACCGAACCTCATGATTTCAGCTCGGGAGTTTTGTGGGTTGTCCATCCCTGGAGCCTGTTCAGGCTGTTGAGGTCTGAGAGTCGAAGTCTTAAAAGTATCTTCTAGGTTCGTGACTTGTCTGGTTGCACCAAGAGATTCTACAAAACCTGCAAACAAATTTGCGCCTGAAATGGTCGTAGTCTGCATAGTGAGGACAGAGTTACGAACTTTACAATTTAAGGATCATAGGGGCCTCAAATATCACTTCAATCTGTTGCGCATGGTACCTGCCACAATTTGTAAGGGCCCAACACATACGATAGCGACCTCCCATGATAACTCTTCGAGTTCTGGGCAGGTTCCTTGGCGACTAACAGCATGTCAGCAATCCAGCACGATGGTGAGCAAGAAGCTTTACCTTACCATCAGACATCTGTTATGTGATTCCATTTAGCATTTGGTCAATGTGATGTCTAACGTTCTAAACTTCTGAAACGACGCCATGCAAAACACCCAGGCAAAAANNAAAAAAAAAAAAAAAAAAAAGAGTAGAGGCTTCGCAGTAGAAGGGTGAAGGTGCCTTTCAACAAAGAGTTGCACCAGCCCAGACTGCAGCCAAACCAAGGAGTAAAATCCTTCTGAGTTTTAAATAGCGAGATCTGAAGGATTTGTATGTCGCCATTTTCTTCAGACAGAGCTGACCAAACGAGCTGATTCGGCGCTCTTCAATAACAATGCCAGAACCAGCCAAATATGAAGCACCACAGCTTAGATGAAGTGTCGCAATAAACTCCATCACATGGGCCCTAGAAACTGAGCCTTGCGACATAGATTGTGTGTACTTTCCTAGCAACTTGCACTGTCCATGCTTATCCCCTGGAAGCTTTGTACCATAGCTCGAATGCTGGACATCCACTATCAGTCTCCTCCTCATCCTCACATACGCTGTAGAAGAGCGTCTTCTCGCTAAAGTCCTCATCTTTGCAATCCACCTTGCACAGCGCACTGGTCGACGCTTAATACCTAAGGTTACAAAGTCCGGTGAAAATCGAAGAAGTGAGGGCCCCGTGGTCTCTTAGCTTGAAGAACCAATCTTGCCTGGTACTCAGGCTTTGTTTTGCCATATCTGATCACTGAACAGTAAGTAGCCCACGCTAGTCAAGGGAAAACCTTGCCGCCATTGGACTCAAGGCGTTCAAGCCTTTAAAACCTTGGCCGAGGCAAACGCCGCAGGCTTGGGTGAGATCTTTGGCCTCGCTTCTGCTTGCACATGTGCCTCCTCATACTTTTCAATTACCCAAGCCTCCAAACTTCTGCATGACGGATGGGCGTAATGCAGGGACCAAGATGCAAGCATGACGGATCAAGACTGACAAAACCAATGAGAAGTCACCCTATCCCTCTTATTGGGGTACGAGGCCAACTGGCCTGATCTTGCTGGCCAGCCTTCAGCATGTTGTTCCACATCCCGCGAAAGCTGTCAAGGGATGAACACTATCATAAATCTTTCGTCTGGGGTTGTAGAATTGTTTGGGTGGCGTTCCTGTCTGGAGCCCGGTGCAAACTGCGATCAGCATGCCTACGCTACACTCGACCAGGAGCCTTGATGTTGCAATGGATAGCCACTTAGGAAACACAAGTAACCTACAGCCTGATCTGATCTTTCAGGCAAACCCCACTGCAGCAACTCGTACCAACATGGAAAAGTAAAGCCCAACGCTCGGATATATTGCTAAGGAATTCCCTTGCTGATCAGGCCCCAACATATGTTTAGTCCGATCTTACAAGAAGTCTGCCTTCTCCCAGAGCTTCTCACCATCCGCATCTTCGAGGATTGCCAACGCCCTGGGACAAGCAAGAAGTGTTTTGGGGAGAAATGTGGTCCGCCCAAATTTTGGGGCGCTGGACAACGCGAAGTCCCACAGCCCCTGTTTCCCCTGCTGCAGGTGCTGGTGAGGTACTTGCAGTTTGAGGCAAACGATGCGGCAGATTTCTCTAGTCTGCGGCCCGCCTTGTGCTTGGCAAGAGCACAGGAGGATCAAAACAGAAGGTTGAGGGAAACTCAGACAAACCGGGAAACCTTCAATCAGTTATGCGCACTTTTCATCCTGAAGCCCTATAGATCCTCAGTTGTGCTGCTAGTTCAGACCCTGCTGGCACATTTGTCACTAGCCTGCAGCCCCAAAAGAAGAACAGCTCACCAAAGAGCAACCCCCAAAAGAGGGAAATGATGACGTCGTCAGGCCTGTTTATGGAACTGCCCTGAGCTGGCATCCTCATGCCTAGGCCAACTTGCCTTCACCCAAGCCGTTGGACCCGTTGCTACATACACAAAACTCGTTCCAAGTCACTTCAGGCAGGCGTCTGCAGGCTCGCAGTCTTCAGCGTTGGCAATCACAATGACCTTGACACACCAAGGTCTGCGATCAGCTCTGGAGCCTCTAGAACAGGAAGGGGGATAGACATTCTGAATCCTCCCCAGCCCCAAAACGCAAGCACCATCGCCCCCTCCAACCCAGGATCAAAAAACAAACACTTTGCAGTTCACACAGTCTGAGTATCCCTGTTGCCCCTGGCTCCTGATCAACTATGTAAATTTCGAACCATGCTTCAGATAAAGCTTGGTGCGCTCCAGCCATGGACAACAAACAGACATACAAAATCTGATCCTGATTCCGTGATGGGTTGAAGTAGCCGGCCACCGTAAGTAATGAATTGCTGGACATCCTATGCAAGAATCTGTGTGGAATCTCGTACGGTGTTTGGCATAAAAACCACACAACTCTCTGCAACCTCTTAATTCCACCCCCTACGAAATTATGTGCCCACTTCCGACTATTGATTTTGCGTCTTGGGATGAGACATGGAGCCTTCGGCTCGCAGTCAGACTCTCCAGCGGGCATGTAGGTCCCCTTCACAACCTTCTGCAGCTCCTTCTTCATCATAGGATGGGGAACTCAAGAGTTAAATGCACAAATTGCAAGGGTATTTCAATGCTAGCGCTTGAGGATTATGTGAAGGTATTGTTGAGAAACTTGGTGCGTGATGATGGTCCAAACACATCTAGTAAAAATCATTTCAGTACCGCCTCTTTGTGTGGCACAGCAAAGGCCTAAGCTCTCTATGCCAGTGTGTCTCTGCTTGGTGGCTTTACCATACTACAAGCTGACGCAGCCTTGACACACACACATGGCCAGAATGGATTCTCAGACCACTCTGCGCACACTTCAGGTGCATATCTAGACATGCATGTAGGCACATATATCTTTATCTATTTATAGATATCCATGCATGAAAAAGTTTCTATACATATTATAATATATATATATATCTATATACATGATTTTGCAATGTTCTTACAAAGCGCAGACAGGCGTTCAGGGCCCAAGGGCCTCGGGGTTTGTTTAAGCCGGTCCTGTACCGAGTAGGGAAGGGTACAAGTTCTTCTAAGGGGTCTGTTCGTCAAGGGTGTCAACTACGTTGGGGGTCTACTGGGAGTGTCTCTCCGGAGGACAAGGGGCCTAAGTAAATCCACACGGAGTGTAAGAAGGTCCAGTGTATCTACTAAGATGGAGAAGGATTGACTAAGCAGTTGCGTGGCTGCGTGGCTCGCACGCTCTTCCGTGTCTCGCCTCCAGCATGCCCTCATGAGATTTCCTCTGAGCCCACCACTTGCAAGTCTCAGGAAGAACATGCACGGGCTAATCACGGTCCACACATTGGTCCCACTGCAGCTCGGCTACTACTTCAAACACATCTAAAACTGTATCGTATGAACGTCAAGATCACAATCAACGGGCAAGGCGAGTATGTTGCTCGGCTTCAATTTTTCCAACCCCAACCCCTTCTCAGTCCTGCGCAAGAGCTTTAGCATCTGCAGGGGCCTTTTTCATATCCAAGTGCTGCACGCCTGCACTTCCAAAAAAAGGGAGCTTAGGAGGGGGGTTGTAGCCACGGTTGAAATAAACATTAGAACCACGACCACTTTTTAGGAGAACACGCTACAGAAATTGACTATCCCGACACCCGACACGCTCTCTTTTCTGCGATTCCCCAGACAACTCTTTCGGACGGCAAAATTACTGAAACGGCGGCTCCCGGGCTGGCTTGCGGGCCGGGGAGCTCGGGAACCGCCTCTGGAGAGTTTTGTCGGCAAAGCTGCTGAAACGCTGCCTTGGGGCCAGGGGGCTCGGGAGCCACCTCTGCACGCTGTTTTAACGGCAAAACTGCTGAAATGGTGGCTCCCGGGTGGCTTGGGGCCAGGGCGCTGGGGAGCCACCAAACCCAGATCCGGCCCAAGAGCACTTCCTGAGCTAAACTTGAAATCCAGATCCGGCCCAAGTACGCCTCTTGAGCAAAACTTGAACCCTAAATCCAGCCCAGCGCTTCTTGAGCCAAACTCGGAACCCACATCCCCCCCAAGAGCACTTTTGAGTCAAACTTGAGAATGAAATCCGACACAAGAGCATTTCTTGAGCCAAACTTGAAACCTAGATCCAGCCCAAGAGCATTCTTAAGCCAACCTTGACACCCACATCCGGCCCAACATCGCCTCTTGAGCCAAACTTGACATCTAGATCCGGCCCATGAGCAACGTGAGCCCAACTTGAAACCCGGATCTGGCATTTCCAGGCAAACTTGACATCCAGATCCGCCCCAAAAGCACTTCCTGAGGCAAACTTGAAACCCAGATTCGGCACAAGAGCACTTCTTGAGCCAAACCTGAAACACTCATCCGCCCCATTGCCGGCATCCACCGTTTGAGCAGTTTTGCCGACAAAATTCTTCCAGAGTTGGCTCCCGAGCTCCCAAACCCCAAGCCACCCGGGAGCCACCATTTCAGCAGCTTTGCCGACAAACTCCTGCAAGTTTGGCGCAAAAACTGTTTTTGGGCCGGATGTTGGTTTCAAGTTTTGCTCAAGAAGTGCTCTTGGGCCAGATCTGGGTTTCAAATTTGGTTCAAGATATTTTCTGGGCCGGACCTGAGTTTCAAGCTTGCCTCAAGACGTGCTTTTTTGCCGGATCTGGGTTTCAAGTTTGCGGCCGGTTCTTGATTTCAAGTTTGCCTGGAAATGCTCTTTGGCCAGCATTAATTGGGATTCAAGTTTGGCTCAAGAAGTGCTCTTGGGCCGGATTTGGGTTTCAAGTTTGGTTCAAGAAATGCTCTTGGGTCAGATCTGGGTTTCAAGTTTGGCTCAAGAAGTCCTCTTGGGCCAGATCTGGGTTTCAAGTTTGGCTCACGAAGTGAGATCTGGGTTTTACGTTTGGTTCAAAAAGTGTTCTTGGGCCGGAACCTGGTCTCAAGTTATGTTCAAGACGTGCTTTTGGGCCGGATCTGGGTTTCAAGTTTGGCTCGAGAAGTGCTCTTGGGCCGGATCTTGGTTTCAAGTTTGGAACAAAAAGTGTTTTTGGGCCGGATCTGGGATTGAAACTTGGCTCAAGACATGTTCTTTGGCCGGATCTGGGTTTCAAGTTTGGCTCAAGAAGTGCTCTTGGGCCGGATCTGGGTTTCAAGTTGGGCTCAAGACGTGTTCATGGGCTTTGGATCTGGGTTTCAAGTTTGGCTCATGAAGTGCTCGAGGGCCGAATCTTGTTTTCAAGCCTGGCTCAAAAAATGCTCTTGGGCCGGATCTGGGTTTCAAGTTTGGCTCAAGAAGTACTTTTGGGCCGGGTCTAGATTTCAAGTTGGGATCAAGAAGCGCTCTTGGGCCGGATCTGGGCTTCAAGTTTTGCGCAAAAAGCGCTCTTGGGCCCGATCTGGCTTTCAAGTCTGGCTCAAGAAGTGCTCTTGGGCCGGATCTTGGCTTCAAGTTTGGAACAGAGAGTGCTCTTGGGCCGGATCTGGGTTTCAAGTCTGGCTCACGAAGTGTCTTGGGCCAGATATGGGTTTCAAGTTTGATTCAAGAAGTGTTCTTGGGCCGGATTGGGGGTTCAAGTTTGACTTTAAAATCCATTTTCTGGGCTTGAAAACTTGGCTCAAGACATGTTCTTGGGCCGGATCTGGGTTTCAGGTTTTGCGCAAGAAGCGCTCTTGGGCCCGATCTGGGTTCCAAGTTAGGCTCAAAAAAAGCTCTTGGGCCGGATCTGGGTTTCCAAGTTTGGCTCAAGAAGTGCTCTTGGGCCGGATTCGGGTTTCAAGTTTAGCTCGAGAAATGCTCTTGGGCCGGATCTGCTCTTGGGCCGGATCTGGGTTTCAAGTTGGGCTCAAGAAGTGCTCTTGGGCCGGATCTGGGTTTCAAGCTTGGCTCAAGAAATGCTCTTGGGCCGGATCTGGGTTTCAAGTTGGGCTCAAGAAGTGCTTTTGGGCCGGATCTGGGTTTCAAGTTTGACTCAAGAAGTGCTCTTGGGCCGGATCTGGCTTTCAAGTCTGGCTCAAGAAGTGCTCAAGGGTCGGATGATTAGTGTTTCAGGTTTGCTTCGAGAAATGCTCTTGGGCCGTATCTGGGTTTCAAGTTGGGTGGGCTGGATCCGGGTTTCAAGTTTGGCTCTAGAAGTGCTGTTGAGCCGGATCTGGGTTTCAAGTTTCGGCTCAAGAAGAAAGCGGCTCAGCTCGGGAACCGCCTCTGAAGAAGCTTTGCTAGCAAAACTTCTGAAAAGGTGGCTCCCGGGCTGGCTTGGAGCCAGGGAGCTCGGGAGCCACCTCTGGAAGAGTTTTGTCGGCAAAACTGTTGGCTTGGAGCCAAAAGTACTTTGGAGAAGTTGTTTTGTCGACAGAACTGCTGGCTTGGGCAGTGGGCTCAGGAGCACCTTTGGAGAAATGGGAGGTCCCGGGCTGGGGAACCACCTCTGTGGGCAGGTGGCTGAAATGTTGTCGGCAAAACTGCTGAAACGGTGGCTCCGGGGCCAGGAGGCTCGGGAGCCACCTCTGGAAAAGTTTTGTCGCCAAAGCTGCTGAAACGCTGGCTTGGGAGCCTATCTGGAGGAGATTTGTCGGCAAAACTTGATAGATTTGCAAGGTGCTTGGGAACCGACTTGTCCTGACAAAAGTCACCTGCTTTCTTTGACCACACCTATCTGGCGTCTCAAGATGAGAAACGAGCATTCTTTCCAGGAGCCAAAGACATCATTCCTTCCCAACGAAAGGTTCAGGTCCTGGAAGCCAAATTAGGGCACTTTATTCTACATTCGCTACTGTTTCGGGGGTCCGGAATAATCGCAAGTTTCGGAAGCCAGAATCTGAAGAATAGCGTTTCCTTGCATTTCCAACAGAGCAAACCGAGCCTATTTGCCAGACCAAGCCCTCAATGGATTTGGGGATCATCTTTAAAGGAAATCAATGAGTGTTCAGGACGGGGCCACCTGTAAAATTGGTGCAACATCAGGCCATCGGTCTGTGTATGTAAGGCGAAAGGTTGAAAGTTTCGGCTTTTTGGGGTTCATGGCCCCACCTTGTTCACAGAAGTCCTCCTCTATAGCACACCAACCACCGACGTCCTCCTCACGTCGCAGCTTGAAGTCCCAAAGAACTGGAGGCTACGGTTGATAGTGCGGCCTAGTGGTGCCAAGCGTAGTAAAATCCAGCAAAAGCCTTCCATCAAAATCTTCTCACTCGCAGGTAGCGAGTCCAGGTGTAGATGTCTCAATGAAAGGGCATCAGATTTGGGAACACCTGCTGCGATGTGTGGCATATCCAGATTCCAGGCACACCTATTTAAGAGGCAGCCAGGTTTCAGCGAGCTCTGTTGCCGACATGGGCTCGAAAAGATGCAGCCTCGGGCGACACTGTCATATGTTACTCTTGTCGATCCCCCTTTGTGTGTAGGCTCCTGCCGGCATAGGCTTCAACCAGGATCCAGCTTTGTAACTCCCCTCTGTCAGCTGGGGACTGTCAAAACTGCGCTCGGCATGCGAGTGTTGCCGGAAATACATTTACTGTTGTGCGGCAGTGCTCGCTGTATGACGCAAGGCTATCAAATCACAACCGGCAAGGGGAACTTGGGATTGTTGCTTCACATCATGAAACATGACCTAAACCTTGCAGCAGAACTTTGCACGCACAGAATTGCATCACAAGCCCGATTGCATGATCATGTCTGCACAGAGTTCAAGCATGGCTTGGTAATATCTAAGAACTGTTATATGCACATGTAGCGTGCATGTCCTTACGACTGTCCAAGCAGGCTTGGGTTCAGTGACGTGGTCCTCAGCTCCTCTTTAGCTTTGATGCAGTTTGTAGCCTTCTTTGCCTGATGGACTGCACACCAACCGCAAAGGCAAGCTGAAGATGCAACAAAGCCTTTCACGAGCCGTGCCGCCCTGCCCTTTTTACGAGCCGTGCCGCCCTGCCCTGGGGTGAGTTCCTATCAGGAAGTGCCATCCGGACGCAAGTGAAGCAGCTTGATTTGCCCTGTGGAGTCATCAGGGCAAGACAGCTTTGGGCTCACAACTCTCTCCCGTCCTTCGCTCATACTCAGTCGAGGAGCTTTGGGCTATCCGACTTCATGTCTGCGGCCTTCCGCTTCTTGGTCACCGGCAACTGCGCAGTCCAGAGATTGAAGTGTCGAGCACAAACCAGCAACGTCAAAGACTTCAGGTTTGAGACCAATAGGTGCCCACGGGTAGCATCTTTGAGCTTGTGTTCTAGGGTCACTTATGATGCCCAAGAGGGGCCATGGTAGCAAGGCGGCTGCTCGCTCAGAAAGCCTTTGCACGCGTCTCACGCACCCAAAGTCTGCAAGGGATATTGACGTTATACCGTTAGACCCTCAAGAAGATTACAGCGATTGTGGAGTAGGCAGACTACGCCATGTTCAATGCCAAGCCAGGTTCGAGGAAAAAAACGGTTATGAGCTGTCAGCGTCCATGGAAAATGGCTTCAACGCTTCAAGGTTTTAGGACTGTAGGATCTTTTCTGACCGCAAACACCTTAAGAAGACATGTACTTACTTGCTTGGGTATTGAGTGCTTACCTGAATTCACTGCCCAAACCTGATCGCACAACTGGACTTGACCCAAAGCCTGCCTTTAGAAAAGCTTTTACACCGGCTTTGGCCACATCAAAGGGCGTCTGGCCGTCATTGGTCTTCATGGTAACATCTGCCTGGTAGCAGGGTCAAGATCAAAGTCCCCTCGTTCTTGTGCGTTGTTAACTCGAGTATCCAAGGGAAGCTGCCAACTGCCATGACTCACACCCCTTAGATTTTCCTTCTGAGAAACCTCAAGCGGTTGGCTCTGAGTTACAGTATACAAGTTGAAATGTATAGGCTAGCACCCGGGCACTTTCCTGTACAATTCAGCCGAAGTTTGAAGAAGGCTCGGAGTAGTCCAGGGTTTGCAAGACAATGGCGAGCAAAACTATAGATCCCTTTTTGAAACGACCTCACCCCGTCCAGCGTGCACGAACCACCCTCTCTATGAAAAGTTCCATACACGGAACACATACTCCAGTTCTTTCAGATATCAACCTTGCAGGAAGTTGGGGTGGTTCAACTTACTTTGTCACCCAACCCCACGTCTGCCGACCATGTGCAAAAATACAGGGGAAATGAATTCCAAGTCCGAACCCTGCCACACGGACGAAAACCTACGCCCCGGCTTGCAAATCCTAAGCGTCAACTTACACCAACTCAGGATCGAAGGCTTTGTAGGCGAGAAGAAACTTCACGACTTTCTTGTCGCCCGCCTCTGCGCGGTGGTGCAAACACGTACGGTAATGTAGTGAAGGCCAGCTGGCCCAACCCAAGGTGTTCCTGAATGCTGCAACTCTGAGTTAGGTCAGGCTCATAATCATGATGCGTCCATTGGTGCAGGATACTTGGCTTTTCCCCGTGAATCCTGAAGTCCAACATAGAGGGCCATGGCTTTACCATTTCGATGTAAGGCCGAAGTGTGGGTTCTCCAAATAGCTTCAGGATGCTTCAGGTATTGACAACTTGCAGATCAAAATCCTGACCTCCGGAATATCAATCTGCAGGCCTCAGACGTTCAGCCAAAATCCGCGAGTGACGCCTCCAATCCCAACATGCATGCGGGACATACAGTCTACCCAAATGGGAAAGAGACCCCACAAAAGACCAGGACGATACTTGTAAGAACCACCGGTCCCGTCTCACACTGACATGCTTGCCTTTAAACCTCTGGATCTGCCGAAGCCACGCTTTTGGCAAACGCTACGTACCAAGGTCCAAACCAACCTGTAACCAAAAAAACACATCTCTTATACCCCCATGGAAGAAACCACAAATTGGGCGTGTCCGCCTCAACATGCGTGCAAGGACCTTATCAAAACAGAGTCAAAATAGTCCAAACCAAAGCGCAGAAGCAGATTGATTTGCCGTCAAACCAGCAACGTCCGTCATGCCAAGAAGTGTAACAATGATCGACCTTGCAGAGCCCAAGAAAGTCAGCCTCTGCGGCTTGGTGCAGAGCCGTCCAGCGGCCGGACGGCTGTACGTTGACCTTTCATCCCAAGCCATTTAAACATTAAACAGTCCCATCCCATGTCCTCAACTGATCAGGACGTGCGCCGGATTGCTGTAAGTGAGTGTTGTGAAGGGAGACGGAATTGGTCAACCCAGCACTTGGTTCGAAGTCTCGCACGGCCCCGCATTCCAAATGCAGTTTCCAAAGGGCTTTTCAATGTTCAGCGGAGAGATTGTTCGGGATTGCTGTAGAGCATCTGTACAAATGTGGTTAGCGGAGAGCTCAAGAAGCATGGTCGTTGCGACGAGCAATTTTGAAATGTGCGCCAATTCAAAACTTTTTGCTATTAAAAAGAGGACGCCGATGACTTATGATGAAAGAAGGCAGTTTAATGGATGGTTGCACGTGTAACTTCCCCGCGCAATTTCCTCTCTCTGCAAGCTAGAAAGACCACACCTAGAGCACTAGACAACGGAGCCCAGTCGCATAACCAGGGTTCTCCTTCACCAGCTTGGTGACCTTGTCGAACTCCTTGTTCTTGGCATGGTCCAAGAACCTCAGTGCTGCTTCGAGATTAGCTGGTGGTCCAGCATGTGTATATGTGTTGCAAGTGGTTTGAAACAATAGTTGCCCCTCGGAATTTGACACACAAGGAGGGCCAGGAAGGCCCTGAACCTTTTTGGCCTTCAGCCCGAGACTCGAAACTTCACTAACACACACGGCTTGACTTGAGGAGCCTCAATTCCGGTTTCATAACAAGGCCTAGCCCAAGCTGGAACCAAAAAGATTCGCACCGTGAAAGTCCCAAGAAGCTGCTGCTTGCTGCTTGGGTTCCCCGGGAAGCCTACACGCGCAAGTGCCAAACCCAACTTCCGACATCGAGTCCGAAGAGCAGGTGCTGGCTCTTCACAGGCGGAACGCCTGTGGCCTTCGGCACGCGGCCAGCTCCAGCCTCTGCAGAAGCATCCCTCAGCCCTGATGATGCTAAGGCCAGAGCAGGTGAGGTGCTAATCCAACGGCCCCACACCCACTGAATGTCACTGGATCAAACCGTGAAGACTTGCTTCTCAAGGTTAGATGAACTTGTTGAAGCCATGCAGGATTCCCTCCATACACATTGCCCGAAGACCGAAGACCAAACAGGCAAAATAAACGTGTCATGAGAAGCACACACACACACAGATTCAGTTACTATGTAATGACGGACTGAAAAATACAGGGCAAACCTCAGGACCCTGAGGAGCACTGTTGCAATAACCGCTCAGCTTGAAACCCCGAAGCCTAAGACCCCGAAGTCTCTACTCCATCATTGGGCGCCGAAAGCATCAAGGTACCTTCGCTTTGGCCTTTGCTTTCGGTTTGGCCTTCAATGCTTTCGCGAAATCCTGGCGACACACCACCAGGTATGAGAACTACTGTGCCCGATCAGCCCATGCGTCAACCCGCCACATCAAGGTTCTCAGAGGATTTGTAGGCGCCGCATCCCTAAATGTTAGCCTTCACGTTCCTCGGACCACTTGGGTGTAGGTATGCTGGGCTTGACTTCGGGTCATCGAGCCACAAAACAGCACACTGATCGGTAGGAGGATCTCAGGCCTTCTCTGTCCAGACTTTCGTGCCGTAGGCCTTTGCCGTCAGTATTTTTGCAGTTTTCGCTGCATCATTTGCGGCGACCTTTGTATGCAGCTCAGCTACTTGCCTGCAAAAGCATGTCTAACCTCACGATCTTTAAAAACAAGCGGAAATTCAAGAGGAGGACTTTCTCAGACGTGCCAAGTCAAAGTCAAGCATCTCCTGTTGTCATCATGTCATTCTCTAACTAATCCCCTACCCTAATAATGGACCCTCCGCATAGCAAACTTCTCTCAAAAGGCAAAACCATTGTTGGAAACGAACTGGCAGGGCATTAGGGGAGTTAAACGAAGCAACCATAGGGGATGAAGATGTTCTTGGTTGGGTGGGCTCTTGTCTCTACAGCTTTTTGAACCGTTATCAAGAAATCCAGAGAAGATCCCCCTTGAGAATTGCCAGGGGTGCTTATTGAATTTCTCAGGCCTTCTCAACAAAATTGTACAGCAATGGCTCACCTTGATTACTACGGCTCTACATGCACTACAGTGTTTATGGTAAAGGCCTTAAAGATGCTAAAACCTATGGAAACTAGGATTTGAAGCTGTCCCTGATTCCAGGAAGATGTCCCAGAGATTCCTTCACATAAAACATGTCATGAGAACCTTCAGAAACAGTAGAATATACAAAGGGCCCGTAGTTGTCATTATGTCTCCGTTGTTTTTCATATAGACTCCTGTATGAAAGTCGTATCAAAAAAT